CACCTACTTGGAACAAGCTAAGCAAAGCACAGGGACCGCGGTTCAATCCCCCAGCACCACATGCCAGCCAGCCCCGCCCCCTGGTGGGCTGAGCTGGCCACACACACACACACACACACACACACACACACACACACTTAAATAAAATTAAAAAAAAAGAAAAAGAAAAAGAAAACAACCTGGTATTGACAAAAACAAAAGCAAACAGACCTAGAGATCAACAGAACAGATTAGAAGATGCAGAAACAACTCCCGACACTCAGCCATTTTATCTTTGACAGAAGTGCCAAACACATTCATTGGAAGAAGGACAGTCTCCTTAATAAATGTTGCTGGAGGGGCCTGGGGAGATAGCTCAGTGGAATAAGCGCTTGCCTGGGAAGCGCAAGGGCCGGAGTTCAATCCCTGGTTCTGCAAAAAAAAAAAAAAAGTTTAATTTCGGGGCTGGGGAGGTGGCATTAGACCTATATATTTCACCATGACTAACATTAAAAAAGGATCAATCAAAGATCTAAATATGAAAACAGAGACACTAAGTCTGTTGGAAGAGAGAATAGAACTCTTAGGGCTGGCCAAATAGCTCAGCAGATTAAAGCACCTGCAAGCAGGCGCAGGGGCCGAGGTTCGAGCCCCGGCCTGCCACTGGGCGTGGTTGTGCACTCCTGTAATCCCAGCACTTGGCAGAGAATCACAACTCTGATCTAGTAGTGAGATCCTGGACACCCTGTAGACCCTTCCCTAAAATACAGAAAATAAATAAATAAATAAATAAATAAAATTCTTGAAAACGCTGGTGTGGGCAAAGATTTTATGAACAAAACCCAGAATGCAAAGGAACGTCACACAGAACCAACAACTGGGATTTCATCTTATGAAAATGCTTTTGTGGGCCAGGGAGATGGCTCAGTAAAATAAGCGCTTCCCTGGCAAGTGCAAGGGCCTGAGTTCAACCCCCGGTTCCCCCCCCCCCAAAAAAAAAAACCAAACCCGAGATTCTATCTCACTCTGGGGAGAATGGCTATTATCAAGAAATCAGGGCTGGGGAGATGGCTCAGTAGAATAAGCACTTCCACGTCAAGCGCAAGAGCCTGAGTTCAATTTCCGGTTCCACCAAAAGAAAAAGAAAGAAAGAAAGAAAAGAAAAAAGAAAGAAAGAAAAAATAAATCAACCAATAAAATGCTAGTGGGGCTGTGGAGAAAAAGGAACCTTTCTCCACTGTTGGTGGGAGTATAGACTGGTGAAACCTCTGTGGAAATCAGTGTGGCGATTCCTCAAAAAACTAGGACTACAAGGCCAGTGAGATAGCTCAGTGGCCTAAATCACCTGCTTAGGCAAACATGCAGGGACTGTGGTTCAATCCCTGGTACCACATGCCTCAAGTGGGCTGAGCCGGCCACAGAACAAAACAAAACACCTAGGACTAGAGGTCTCATTGGAAACAGTTATTCCCCTTCTTGGTATCTCCCCAAAAGCAAAGCATCACACTACAGTGATGTATGCACACCCATGTTTACAGCGCTCCAGCCTGTAATAGCCAGATCTTGGAAACAGCCCAAATGCCCATCAACTAGTGAAGAGATTAAAAAAAGATTTTTGTTTGTTTGTTTGTTTTTACTACAATAGAGTACTACTGAGCCCTAAAGAGGAATAAACTCCAGACATTTCTAGGTAAATGGATGCACCTCGAGACCTTACTTTCAAGTGAAATGAATGAGACACACATGTAAATGCTGCATTGTTTCTCTGATGTGAGAGACTGAAAGTGTAAATAAGCCCCACAATGTGTAATAGATATTGTGAAATAGGAAGAAAATGTTCAAATGGGGAAGGAAGCAAGGGAGGGGAAGAAGAAAAGAAAAGTTAAAAGAAAAAAAAAAAAAAGGAAACAAAGCTTTTGTGCCAGGCATTGTGGTGCGCACTTGTAATCCCAGCACAGGGGAGGCTGAGGCAGGAGGATTGTTTCAAGTTCAAGACCAGCCTGGGCTACAAAGTGAGCTCAAGGCCAGCCTGAACTGCATAGCAAAACCTTCTCTCAAAAAGATTTTTTTTAAAAAGAGAAGCTTTTGTACATGGGGAGGTGAGGAGGGCTTGAAGAGAGGATGGCGAGATGGGAAAAATGAAGTTGTGTCACGTACAGGTACAAACCCTCTATGATGCATGTGATCCTGTGATCACTGTGTACACCTAAATGTCCCAATAAAATTCATTTTTTTTAAAGTCCTGGGTTCAAGTTCCACTTCTGAGAGACAGAGACAGAGAGAAGAGGGAATAGAAAACAACTTTCCAGCTTCTGGGGAGCCAGTGAGGCAGGGTGTCCCGCATCCTCCTGCTCAGCCTCCACCCCTCAAAGCTGCTGTCCATCCTCTCCCTCATGGCCTTCATCCTCAGGTCTGTCGGGGCTGCTCCGGCATCTCGCCTTCAAGGCTGCCGCAGCCGAGAAGGACCAGGCTGCAAAGCCAGGCTCCTTTTCGTTCCTCTGCTATGCTGCCTAGGCTCCTCTCAAACCTCTGGGCGCAGCTGACCCTCCCACCTTGGCTGGGAAATGCGCTCCTGCAACTGGCGAGCCTCCCTTTGAAGCTGTGTCCTAGAAGCCACACAAAGCACCTTCCCACACAGGCGCTGGACATATGTCACGTGACCACACCCAGCCGCAGGAGACTGTGGGAACAGTCGCTATTCTGGGTGGCCAGAGATCTCAAATGAGGGCTGCGTTTACCAAGGGAGAGGAGACGACCGTGGGTCAGGGCACAGCTTGCAGTGCCAGCCTCGACTCTCACCCCACCGAGATGGGCAATGGGGCCCAGGGGCACCCCAAAACCGCACCCGGAGCCACAGCAGAGCTAACACCGCCATGCAGCTGGTAGGCCTGGTGAGGCTGACACCCGCCTGTGCTTACATCCAGATTAAACAATCTGCCCGGAAGTCACCCCCCCTCTGGATGCTGAGCTCCTGTCGGGCTGTGCTGAGGAGCTGGGTTCCCCTCTAGGCAGCTGCTGTCCAGCCACGATCCAGGCTTGCCCTTTGCTTTCCTGGGCTGCAGCTAACAGGAGCAGCCCTAGCTCCTAGGTCCTGAGCCTAGCGCTTGCTCAGTCAGGGATGAAATGGAGAAGCCGTTTTTCCTCTTCCCCGTGGCGGTCTGGCCTATGGAGTGGATGCAGCAGAGTGGGCAGTGGGGTGGGCAAGGCCCTGCTGGTACTGAACACCAGCACTGACCGAACTGTAGCAGCTTTCTTGGCACCTGCTCTAGGAGCCTTCGGATTTCGTGTTTACTCCTTTCCAGAGCCAGGGTCTCCCTATGGAGGTTAGGCTGGACATGAACTCACTTGGTAGCCTGGGCCAGTCCTGAAATGATAATGACCTCTCGCCTCAGCCCCCATGCAATCGTATTAGAGGAGTGTGCCACCACGCCCAGCAACACCCCTTTTGAGAAACACCTCTGGGCGTGGTGGCACACCCGCAATCCCAGCGATGCCGAGGCTGAGACAGGAGGATCGCTACCAGCCTGAGCTGCGTACAAGACCCTGTACCAAATAAATATTAAATAATTTTTAAAAACACCTTAAATTTTGTTTTTAAGACAGGGTTGGGGGCTGGAGAGATGGCTCAGTGGTCTAAAGCACCTACTTGAATCAAGCTTGGCGAAGCA